GTCCTCATTTCAGGCTGGGTGAGCAGCAGCCCGGCCCCAGAGGTAGCAAGATGATGCCAAACCTCCTAATGGAGCTTGACAGCAGTGGGATTGAAAGCACAAGTGAGATTGCAATCCCTCTGCAATCATCTTCTGCCTTGGAAGAGCTGAATTAGAAAAGAAACCTCCTGGCAGCGGGGAGGGGTGGGAGCACACACGCAGGGTGAGGGCAGCAGGGGCTAAGGGGAAACCTCGCCCATCCCAAGCCCTCCTCACTTGCCCTGCCAACCCATCATCAATAGGAAGGAGCCAAGCTCCCCCCCCAGCAGCACCAGCGAAGGGTTTCACCAGCAAGAGCCCAATTCCAACTGGTCCCTGGGGGGTTGGTACTTCTACTGCCCTAGACTTCGGATGTAGAAGAGCCCACACCATGCACTGCTCACGCCTTCCTCTCCCTGCCTGCAAGCTCAAGGCATTGCACAAGGCCCCCCCTTCTCCCTCTCCTTTGGGCGGTGTGCTTGGAGTGGTGCCATTGATGCTGGAAACAATGCCCAAGCAGCCGGGTCCAAGCTGGAGACAGGAGGACTCACTCAGATGCAAGCGGGTGCTCAGCAGGACACCTGCGGCCCCTACTTCTGCAGGACGGAGTGCGCACAGCCCCTCACAGCTGGCACCGAGCCCCATCTGTCCCAGAGCACAGCCCTTGTTTAACTAAAAGGCAGCGCCGACCACGTTTCCCACCCGAAGGATGCTCCAGCAGCACTGCTGCCCCAGGCCTCCTTCATCCTCCTTCCCGCAAGCAGGAATACCTCAGCATCTCCCCCAAACCCAACCCAAATGGGCTTTTGCAGGGATGAAGTGGGGGTTAGCTTGCACAAACCGCACTGGGGGTGGCCACTAAGTCACCCTCTGAGAAGCCAGCAAGGCACAAGCACTGTCTCAGTCTGTGTCCACCCGAAACCCGGCAGCTAGAGGCTGCTCTCCCACCTGGCAGTTGTTTGCTCCCAGCAAAATGCAGAGGAAAGCGGGGCTTTTTACTCAAGAAAAAGGGAGCCGCTCCAGGGACCGGTGTGTGTCCTCGGGAGCGGTGGGAAGAGCTGATGGGTTTTGGCACAGTGCTCAGCCTGAAAAGCTAGCTCCAGCTCCAGACCTTGTTTTGCAGTGACCTGTACCGAGAATTGGCTTTTTCCTTTTTCTTGCCAAATGGAAAGAAAAATAAATCCTTCCAGGTCAGAGGAAAGAAAAGCATTTACTCGTGGGTCAAGTGAAACGATCTGATGCAGGGTTGAGTGCACTTTTATCCTCCCTAAACCAGGAAAAGATTCCATTTCCATCTGAAAAAACATCTAAATATAAAGAGAAAGGGTTTTGGGGTCAGAACCACTTGATTTTGGTTTTTAAGCCCAAATGACGTGCTGCATTGAACCCCACTTTGCAAAGCACGGGTTGACCCAAAAGTGCAGAGGGGTGGGGAGGGGATGGGCTGATGCATCGATGTGGAAAATTTCAACCGCGCTGAGACAGCACCAACCACAGCGGCAGCAGCCACGGCAGGGGCCAGCCCGGGACCCCCTGTGTCCCCAGCATGCAGCTCGGCCACCCCAACCTCAGCTCCTGCCAAGCCCGGCTGCACGCCAGGGTGCCAGGAGGGAGGTGTTTGGCCGCCTCCACAGCACTTTGTTCATCCGAAGCGAGCTGTCACTTTCCAGCCTTCCAGCCTCCTCCCCGCCAGCCAAATGCTTCCTGACAGCCCGTTTAAAACTCAAAGCACCCGATTACCGCCACAGCCAGGCAGCTGCTCACCGACACCGCAAGAAACTCTTCCATACCCCCCACCCCCAAAACAAAATCCCTGCCTAGAGCATCACTCCCAGCCCTTTCCTGACCTACCCACACCCACGGGGCACCAGGGTCCTTCTCGAGCTGGTGCGGGTCTGGCTCTGCTCTCACGTGCATGGCCTCGGTCGAGGGGCTCCTATGTTTCCATCACCGAAATGCCAGCACCTGCTTCCCACCACCCCAGGACAGGGAGGAGAACTGCCCACCCCGGCTCCATCCACCTGGCAGGGCTGACCCCCGACCCCACACGTCGCCTGAGCCCATTAGCGAGTCCCCAGAGCGCACACCTCACTGGCATTTTGCTTAACCCTGGCTTTTAGGGAACGCTGCAGAGCTGCGCCGCCTTTCAATTTTTAATTTGCTCTAAACATTTTGGTCCTCTCCCCCGGGGACTCCCAGTCGATAACCTCTGCCGGCAGCACTGCCGCCCCATAACTATAGGGAGGGTGGAAACTGGGGGCAAAGGAGAGGAAAGCAGCTCCACCCCAAGCTGCTCTCCTTTGGAGGAGCAGGACCCCTTTGCACACATGGCCCAGGATGAGTGACAGCCCCGCCGGATGCTCCAGTGAAAGGGCCCCCAGTGCCCCACGGAGATGCTCCTCAAGGAGGACGGGGTGACCCCCGCCCCCTCCAGGGACCCAACACCTGCAGAGACAGGGTTGTCGCAGGGTACACCACCTTCCTCCTTTTCATCAGACACCTCTGCAGGGTTAGGTCCCTCCCAACTTCACGGCTTGCTCAGGTTTACCCTGACACCTGGCACAGCCACCTCTCCTTCCCCACCGCCCGGCACTGGCGCAGCAATGCCCTGGAGCAGGGGCACGAATGCAGCATCACTTTCCAGTCCCCGAGGCATCTTTCTCGCTTTCCATCGCCTTAAGCAACGAACGTACAAACAGGGACCTGCTGGGCATGAGAAATGTGACCTGAGCTGCTCTGGGAAGAGAGATGCCACTGCACAGCTGGAAAGATCAGCCCAGGTCACCCTGGAGCAGAGTGGCAGCTCCGGGTGGCTTTTCTGTCCCCCAAGTGCTGGGGGGGCGTGTCCTGGCTCAGGGTTAAGGCTCAGTTCTTCACACACCTTTTATCTTGATTGAAAGGGTGTGGAGAACTAATCAAGCACTTGCAGACATGAATGGTAAAACCTTATAGGGAAAAAAAAATATCCTGACCAGTTAAGCATCAGAAAAGGTACACGGGATTGCAGCAAAGCCCTGCACCCTGCCTCCAACAGGTACCCAGGGAGAGCGTGCAAAAAGGGTAACGTGCAGTGGCAATAGCCCAGAATATGCTCCCTCCCTCCAAAAATTGGCAGATTAGGGAGCTCCCAAGTCACAGGGGATGCCTTGATACTGCTTAATGCTTGCTGGCTCCCTCCCACAAATTTGCCTGCTTCCTTTCTGCACACACGTAAGCTCCCAGTGTCCACACCCCCCCTCCCAGACCTGCACAGCATCTTCCCATCCCCAACTTCCCGGGACAGCTCACTCCGAGCAGCGGTGGGACCCACCCCCAAAAGCCTCCAGTTACACCTCCAGGCAGACACGGGACCCGCTGCGCCCCAGGCAGGGAGCAGGGATAGAGGCAGGCCCAGCCAGGCACAGGGATACTGCCCACCCAGCAGGGTCTTCTTCAGCTCCTCGCTTCCCTCACCCTCCCAGACCCCCAGAGATGAGGAGTTCTAGGCTGAAGGGAGCCAAGCCGCTGACAGCTGGCCTCGGCTGCCACCTAGCAGTGACCCAACAGCGGCAGGGAGAGGGCGACGGCTCCTCCAGCCTGCTGGCTCCCGCTGCAGTCCAGGGGCAGACAGGGGAGGACGTGGGGGTCTCCTCGGGACACCCCACCCCAGCCCTCACCTCCCTGAAACCAAAGAGGACTTCTGCAGCAGAGAGGGTGGTGTTGGAGACAAGCACTCCATCGTCCAGACCGCTCCAGGCAACCTCAGCTCTGTTTCAGTCGCTCCCTACACAAGATGACAAACACATGCGGATGCAACCCCCCGGCCTGAAGCCCGAACGCAGGACCAGAAAGGTCAGGCAACCTCTGAACTTCCCCGCAGGGCTGTACAGCCCCTGCTCAAACCATAGCTCCTCACCTCTCTGCTTCTGTCTCCTTCATTAGCTTTCCACGCAGTCATTTCCTAACGAGCCCCAGATTTTCTTTCGCTCTCTACATTATTTTTTTAGCCCTTTCACATCCAAAACCACCCCTAAATGCTGAAATTAAAATAGTCACAGAATGGCTTGGGTTGGAAGAGAGCTTTAAAGATCAGCTAGTCCAATCGATAAACTTGTTATGCTGGGCTTTTATCCATTCCAATATTAATGTTAAACCCCATCTTGAGCTCTTCTTGGTGGTTTGCAGCGAAGCATACCTCTGGCATGTTTGCAGGTGGGCACAGCAGCCCTCAAAGCCCCTGAAGACCTGAGGAACAGTCTAGGCACCAGCAAACCAGCTGAATGCCAGCATTCATAACCAGGGCACTTCTATTTTTACAGCTTTTCTCTGCGTTAACAAACTCTAGCCCAAGAGGATTTCTTGCCACAGGCAGGGAGCTACATATGCATGGCCAACATCAAGCTTCAAGCTTTCTCTCACTGGATTCTTTATAGATGTCATTCGATATCTGTAACATGGGATTCCTGACGCTTCTTATGTGTGGCATCCTAATTCATCAACAAATCAGAGTGTCTTTTTCTTGGGGAAAGAGGTTTCTTTTTGCAAGTTACCAGCACTTAACACAGACTGAGGCCTGAGCTGGGATACAACCACCTCTCCTAACAGCAAGGAGTGTGTAGAGCATCCGCAGTGTTAAAAAACAAAAACATCTCCCCACACAATGTCAAAACTGCTTGTGCACTGAGGGAGGGACAGGTAGCCAGTTTCCCTCTCCTAAACTTAAAGGATATATAACACAATGTGACACTTAAATGTTCTCCCAAACCATTACATTAAAGAGCAATAAATCAGTACACCACCAGTACAACAAAACGAAACTATTTTCCTGAAAGTAAGAGCGACATTTATCACACGTACTGGGCACATCTGAGAAGACATCAGACTCCAAGTTTTTCAAGGAATTAAACGTTTCTGAACAAAGAAAATGACAGCATGGTCATACAGAGGGCCTTTGCTGCTCGAGGCAGCCTTCCTCGGCAGCTGCTCCAGCTTCTCCCCTCTTCTCACACCTTCTTTCTCAGGCTGGGGAGCCACTGGAAGTAGTCACTGGAAGTGGCTAAGCGTGCCGCTGCCAACACTGCAGACAGCGTGGTAGGAGGGACATACAGTTTCTGAGATGGCCCTTGGTCAGACAGCCTACTGGCACCGCACAGGCCAACTGCAAGACTCCCGGGAAGGTCTTTGTTCTTCATTTTCTCTTCATCTGCATAAGGAGGGACACAGAAAAGAAAGATGGTATCTACATTGGCAACTCTAAGAGCTCCAGTTTAGATTGAAATCCCTTTTGCCTGGACCTTACCAGGTCATGGCAAGAGAACTTTCTACTGCACGCCTATTTGATGAGCCCAACACGGTATAATCCGGGAGCCTCTCCCCCTCTCCTCCCAGTGCTAACCCCGTTTCCCCAGAGGTGGGAAATCAGATGTGAATTGAGCAGCTTCTGTTTGGAGAACGGGGCCTCCACTCAGACAGACGGCAGACAGCTCTGTTCCAAGGCACAAACAGGCACTGTCTTTGGCAAGTCAATCTACTTCATAAATTGGGCAACTGTCATATGGGTGTTGTAAATTCTTTCATCATTTGGAAGATGGAAGATGAACACCCACACAGGGACCTTACAAGGTTAAAAAAATGCTTTTGCCCCTTATGGTTGGGAGATTGAGAGACTCAGTATGAAATGAACACAGGCTAACGCATGGAGTGGGGAAACAAAGACTTCTGCGTGAAAGCAGCAGAAAGTCTAGAAGAGACAACAAAAATCAACAGAGAAATAACTCTCAATTCATTTGTTCCCATTAAACATTTAGAAAACCATTTTGCTGCACAAAGGTCAAACTGATGCACCGCATCCAACCATTTATTATTGTCGCATCTCCATCCCACAGAAATACCAACGTTTTCATCTGTTCTAGCAAAGAAGCAGCACCAGTCCTAGGACACCCAATAACGACTGCAAGACTCCTAGCACAGTAACAGACTGTTCAGCTTTCTGCTGTGTTAAATTTTACTGACAAATCTATTCGTACTGTTACGGTTGTCCAGCATAAACGGTATTGCCATAAGTAGAACAGAGGGATGCACAGCTTCACGAAGTTGGGCCTTGTTGGAAAATCTTTCTATCTGATCAGGGTCATCTTGGCTCATTTCTGCTGGTTGCTTGGAGTAGATAAAGGAGGTGTAAAAGTCTTCCACTGACTTGAATAAGACAGCAGGCATTGAGGACTCTCCAAGAGAATGAGGTGTCTGCAAATGTATATAAAAAACTCAGGAGAGGGTGTGATTAGTACACACTGAGTTCATTAGCTCCCCTGATCTTTATTATCTCTCAAAGTCCACAAAGAACTGGAATGTCAGCAACTGGATGATTTAAAAAAAAAAAACCAAAACAAACACAAACTAGTTACTCACAACCTTGGCCAAAGGGCAGCTTTTCCTGCACAGCAAGCTGAAAAGAGTGACAGATTATTACAAGATGCAAATCACCATGTCTTAGCAAAGAATTAACAGCTGGCTCATCTCTCAGCAGCCCCACGCAGAACAAGTGATAGCAATGACAGAAGGAGTTTCTGCAAGGGAATGGCAATCGAGTCAGAGGAAGTCCCTCTGCATTTTTGCTTAAGAATACAAATTAAACTTAAGTTCCAGGGATGATCACCCATGTCTCAGCCATAGACAGGGACTAGAGCTGATGTTTGTATTTGTTAATTCAGCATGGAGGAGAAAAATAGTGAAACGACAGACAAGCAGCAATTCACCTTGCCCAACCATAGGTGTTCAAATATTAGGTGCTTGCTCTCTACGCTGCTTCTGTTGTCAAGGCAGCAGAAGAAAGGCATCCGTCTTCAGAAGGGGTGAATCACCATCAAGAGGTGCTTCGCCCATTGGTGAGAGTCTGTTCAGAGGATTAGCCCAGAACAAAACAATTGTATTCACACAAGCAGATTTAAGCAATTTAAAATGGCCCCCACAAGGGGACCACGAGGCACTCCTGAAGCAGCAAGGAGAACTACATGGCTGGGCAGCAGAAATTCAGTGCTGACAGGATGCCAGGACAGAGTAATTTGAATGACAGGCATCACTGGAGTCCAATTAACCAGCTACTCAGCTTGATATCATCAGCCCACTGAAATCCTCTGCCTAACATGCAGTAAAAAATAAAAGTGTTAGGACAACAAGAAGAACAGGGTTAAAAGATGATTATTATCTCCTCTTGCCACCCATGCTATCCTTGTTGGGGGACAGGCAGTGTCACTGCCACTCCAGGGCAAAGCAGAAATAGACAGGGTGCAAGGGTGGACACTACAAATGTCTGTTAGCACTGGAAAAAGCTGGGATGGAAATAATTCAGAAAGAGGCTGTTCAGTTTACAGAAGAGGCAAATGAGACAGGATATCAAACAGTGCTGTGAGAGGCAGGAAGTAAGGCAGTATCTACTCTTCCTCCTGATTCACACACTTAAGAACACCACCACTGAAAAGGAAAACATGAACAGCGAAAACTGGAAAGGAGGAAATACCACTTGGTCATGCTGTAAGTGCCACAAAACCCTGAGGCCAAGAGACGAGCAGGAATCAAAGAAAGGAAATCTTCCTGTCTGTCCTCATAACTAGCTGACTGATGTATTTTCCCCCCCGCTAATGTCTATAGGCAGGATTATTTTTTCATCCCACGGTCTTCCTTAATAGAAATTCTTGTCACTTCTTCTAAAGACTGTAACAGAGATCACAGCCAGGGACAGAAAATGTGCCTGGGACTTCTCTGATCCAGTTAGGAAATTCCTATGCTTTGAAATTCACGTAGTTTAATATTTGCAGGGGAGCATTTAAGTCAGCTCACAAGGACCCTATTGCTATCTACCCACCTGCTTCCATCTCATCTCATCATACTTTCTCCCCCCACTTGCTACCAGAAGCTTTCCTCTTCTCTCATTCCCTCAAGATCCTTTTTCCCAGCTTGCTTTCTCTCTATTCCTTTCAGGTAACATCCTCCAGAGCCACCAATTCTTCCAGCCTTCCCCCTCATCTTTCTAGAAAGTGCTTTGTCTCAGCCACTATCAACCTCCAGACACATAAGGAGCTGTGGTTGTCCAAAACCTTGTAGGCACACTCCTATTTCCAGCTCTGCAATGTGTTTTGTGGCTCAACAAATCCTGAGTGATACTGGCTCCCCGCTGAACCCAGAGTGGAACGTTTGCAAAATGCCACGCTGCATGCCCTGTTAAGACTCATCATTAATCACTATTTAAGAAGCAAACTCGCAACACCAGTGCCACATAACACCTCAAATCACAGCCCAAAACACAACCCTCCCAAACCCACCCTCCTAACTCAGGAAGAGGCACCTGCGTGATCCAGAGTAGCCCCACAATAACTCCCAGTTACTCCCAGTAACCCTCAGGACTGTAATTCAAGGGGAAGTAGAGGAGTGAAGAAGGGACAGGTTTGATCTATAAAGTGCTGAAACGGTCAGTCTTGTTTCCACAATAGCTTGATGTGCCAGTGGAGCACTAGTGTATCATCAATAACACCAGAAACAACAGCAAAGAGGAAAACGTATAGCTCTGAGCCCATGCTAATAGCCAGTCATTATTTCTTTGTCAGTCGCTTTTAAAAAAAATACATGTCAAAGCAATCAAAGGGTTATTCAAATAATCTAAAACCAAGAACAACTCCTCTCAACAGCAATAGCTGAGAAAAACGCCCTTACCTTAACCGCTGCCATAAGCTCTGTAAGAGTTTCATTTGTATCCTCCTGTGCAAGTTCAGGGTCTTGGTCTGTTTTTCGTGGGACACTCACTTCATCCAAAAGTGGCTGCACATCATCCTGTGTCTCCTTCTTAGCAGACAGGTGCCATTGCTAAGGAGATGGACAAAGTAAGAAAAGGTACAGCTACTGTGGGCAGAAGAAAGCAGGATGCACTGGAGCAAATCACAAAGCAATCAGATGATACCACTCGGAGATTAACTGAGACAGAAATGCAAAGGAGCTTTTCTGTTCTGCTCAGAAGTTTTAACATTTCTATCTGGAGAAGTTTGGGCTACTTGGAAAGGACAGAAAGAACATGGAAGGACAGGAAATAATGTGAACAAGAAACTAACTGTCACTTTAACTTCTCTCCTCCACAGTAAAACTGGTCACTTGGAAAGTACAGTTATATTCAAGCAATATTTTCTGGCTATTGCTTGCTGCCTTTTGAGAAATTTTACCATGGAGAAGTGTCCTAACGTAGCAGAGCTGATACAACACAGCGTCCAGCCATTTTGCGCTTAAGGGCAGGGGGGCGGGGGCGGGATGTTGTTGATCCTGACGAGGCAAATCTAAGATTGGACAATGCACAGGGAGTTCCCCACTGCTTAAGAGGAGTTACCAGAAAATGCCAGCTGAGCAGTAACAGGTGTCATATTAGACACATTTCATTCCAGTTCAAAACATTTTGAGTAATTTTATAATTGACGTTGATGATCATGTTAGTGATGCACCGAAGAAGAGAAGAAACCGTTTTGGGCAACTAAACAGAACAGCAGAGAAGAAAATTTTCAGTCTTACACAAAGAGAGATCTTGAGGACTGCAATTTCTGGAAAAGGATTCCAAGACCCTTGAAATCAGACAGGAGAAAACCTGAATGCATTTACATTCCTCTACTCTCCAAATTGCCAGCTATGTCTGACATTTACACACATGGATCTTGCTACAGTTAACCAGATTTTTCCATAAAAATCACAATAAACTCTGATTTGCAGAGTGTCAGTCACATTAATTTCTTCCAAATACATAAAGATGCTGGTTTGGGACCTTCAGTTCAGATGATGTATCGACAGTGCAAGGCCATTAATATCCAAGATATACAGCTTAGAGTTTCTCTAGCACAGAAACACAGTTGGCTAAAACAAAACCTAGGTAAAATGACTCCTTTACAAGTTGCTAACATTACACTAGCTTTTACTCTTATTTCAGAGAAATGTCAGAAAAACAGCCCCGGAGCAGGCCCACTGCTGAGCACTTCAACAGCTGACATTTACTTGAAAGGTGCTTTGGCCCCTGTAATAAAATGTGTCATGAAAATACTACAACTTAAGTAACACAGAAAAGTAGAGAAAGAGTCACCTGTGGACAAGTGTTCCTGATGTTTCTAACGGTTCTACAATAGATTGCACTCAAGACCTGGGTTTTACTCCCTGCTTAACCCCTCTGTTCATCAGTTTCTCCATCTGTTAAATAGCAAGGGGCTCCTCCTTTTAACATGCTCTGAAATTAAAGGTGTAAAGCAGTATCCAGATCTGGATATCATTCTCCTTTAGATTTATCTTTTTACTAAAACTGTAGTTGTGTACAACCTTACCCCTTGCAACAATCAGGATTGCAAATCGCTTGTTTTCAGATAAGTTTAGAATTAACAAGACGCAAATAATACACCACTAGTTCTTCTGGTCTTTTCCCACATTTAGATGATACCCCAAGTTATTACACAACCTTTGCCAAACCCCAGAGATGTGAGAGGAACACCCCCCCCTCCTTGGCTCCGAGGGGTGCAAAACATGAACGTGCTAAGTCAAACTGATCTCAAGAATCTGGTACTGGTCTGAGTTCTCGGAGTCCATTCTCTCTCTAACTGAAAAATTATGGTGCATATGGGAGGTTAGAGAAATCACTGAGCACACAGACTCCCTGAAGTCTGCAAAGGGATGAGAGGACAAGCAGCTAGAGATGTATTTATGGTCCACGTGTAATTTTTTTTTTTTATATTATGGTTCTGCTTGCCTTTTATAAAAGCAAAAAACAACTCCACAAAAAACTGCATGGGACTAAAACAATACATGCCTACCGATCCCTGGAGCTGATTTCACTGAGTAATAGCTACACCACAGTCAAACTCCCACCTGGTCACACAGTTCATCCCCATCCAGCTTTGAGCTTGCTGTTT